GCCCCAGGGATCTGTCTCTCGACACCTCCCCAGCACTAGGATCACAAGTGTGCACCACCATGCCCAGCTTTTTTATGTGAGTCCTGGGAATCAAACTCAGGTTCTCATGATTGTATGGTAAACATTTTAACAACTGAGCTTTCTCCCCAGCCCCTGAAACATTGACTTCTTAGAAACAATGGGTTACCTACTCTTGTCTGGATGCACATGAACTTCTTCCATGACTGGTATTCCTGGTGTGTTTGCTGGCAAGCAGAGACAAGACCCTGTGAGGCTGAACAGCCCTGGGACCATGGCTTACTAGTGTGAACTGGCCAGGACCAGTATGGAGGTTCTGATTCTTAGTCTAGGGCTTCTTTCAGGATTATATGTAATATATAAGCTTATATACATATATAACATTTAAATTAATTATATCATGTATTATTATTATTACCCTCTGTGTGTGCATATGTGTGTGTGTATGTGTGTGTGTGTGTGTGTGTGTGCGTGCATGGTACTTGTGTGGCAGTCAGAGGACAACTTTCAGGAGCTGGTTTTCTTCTGTGGGTTCTGGTGATGGCACTCAGGTCATTAGGTTTGTACAAGAAGTGCTTTTACCCACTGAATCACCTCACTGGCCCAGGATTCTATGTATTTTGAATTGCTTTCCCCCCTTAGGTTATAGATGCATATTTAGTATATGGTTAAACCAGACTGTGACTAGATTTAGAGGCGAGTCTCTGATTTTTTTTCCAAGACTTCAAAAACTCCGATAGTGGGATTGGGCTCCCTTTGGCCCTCCCTATGCAGCATCTGAGCTCCCAGGAGAAGGGAGAGGGATACAGGGTCCTGGAGCTTTCACCTGGGCTTCTTAGGGAGGGAAGACAGCAGGGCCAGCATGCACCAGCTCAGTTTGTTACCAGCAGGGACAGAGACAGAGACAGAGACAGAGGTAGAGCTAGAGACAGGGAGATAGAGAGAATTAGGGAGGGAGGAAGGGAGGGGGTAAAGAAGGAGAAGAACCTGGCTTCACAGCCCTAATTGCATTATCCCAACCATTTGGTTAGTGTAATTGCATGTGCAAAGCTGACAAATGTAATTTCCCTGGACTTAATACTTGCCCCATTTTCTCCTCCAGCTTCTTCATCTGATTAGCTAAAGTGACTCACAGGCTTCCGAGAATGCCGCTTGCACCACCTGGACAGGCCTTTCCCTGCCTGATGCTCCCTCCGCTCAGTGTGTCCAGGGACTCAGCCTGAATAGTTTGGGGGGACACAAGGAGCTTGGGGAGCTTTGAAAATAACTGTTTCTCCCAAGACCCGGTTTGATTTGGCCTTTCTGTTTCTAGTTGCTTCTCTACTGCCTGCTTGGAGGGGAGTGGAAATGCCACCCGCCACCCTTGTTCCAACTCAGTGGAAACTGACAGCGCTGAACTTTGGAGAGAAAATCTTATTATCTTGTCTCCTTGATTCTTTGTCAGAGGGACAGAAGCTGATTGTTTACTGTTCATCCTGGGGCTCTTAGCTGAGACTCTCTCCGTACCTCCTTCCTATGCTTGGTGTTCTTCTCCCATTGGAGACTTTCCTATTGGCAGTGGCTGAGCTGGTGAGTGTAGACTTTGAGTTCATATCCTGGCCTCCCTTCCTAGAAGCCACATACACAAAGTCTTTTATTCCATTTTTCTTTTTCTCTTCCATAATAGTAACAGTAAGTGACTCTGGGCCAGTATGAGGTCAAGTTGGTTTGAGACACAATCTAGCTCAGGATCAGGCACGGTCTGTGATTTCCATTCCCTGCCCTCTCCTCCTCTCTTCCTTCACTTACCCTCATTTCCTTTTCTCCTCCTCTCCCCTCCTGTCTTTTTTCTTCTCCTTCCTTCCCCTCTTCCTCTGTGAGGTCCTCCCAGGTAAAAGCTCTGAGCTTGGGTTAAGCAAAATCTTGCAGACATGCCTTGGTGGTCCACCAACCACTCTCCTATGCTGGACCAGAAGTATCAGCGCATTCAGAGCTGGACAGCCCCCTCCATGCCGTGTGGCCATACACAATGCTGCAGGGAGGTGGTTACTTTACTACTGAGTGGGTGTGGCCCTGACTTTGTCTTTCCAGCCCCACAGCCCGGCCGTCTTTTTTCTAAGCACTGTTGCTCTAGTTAAATCATTTGTGTACCTGCTCACTCCTCTTCTGGGAGCTCTTTGTGCTCCATCTTGGTTTTGTGCCCCTAAGTGAATCTGAGCACTGAATGGTTGTAGAGGTGTGTTAGGATTGATAGATGGGTTTGGATGAAAGCCAGGTGAGTCATGGGCTAGGGGGTCCTGCTCTCCTTGACTGTAAGCTGAGTCTAGGGTTAGTAGGGAAAAATCCTACCACAAAAATCCTCCCAAGAAAGTAAACATTCCCACTCACACTTATGGGGACCCACACCAAGATGAAACTAGGGAACCCAAATCAAGATGGAGAGAGATGCTTTCTGAAACAGAGCACATGGGTAAGAAGCCTGGGAGCCGAGCCTTGCTTCTCCTTCCCTAAGCTGCTCCTAATGCGGCACTGGATTCCTGGGACGGTAACAGCTCCCTATTTGGTGTCCTAGAGCCTACCCAGGGAGCCTCAAAACCACTCAGGGATATATTTGATATAGCCTCTTTCTTCTGACATGGAGCTACTTGCTTATCTGGCTCTGAGGTAATGTTACTCAGTAGGGGAGGCTGGTTTTAGCTGGAGTCCTCCCTCACCACTCCCTCAGGCAGATGTTCGCTTCTAATTCCATTTGGAAGTGGTAGGGAGTCATGGCTGCTTTTGAGCTGCCACATGATTTCATTAGGCTGAGTGGCCATTGGGCCCTTTATTGATTAGTTTTTTAGGGACAGTGGGAGTTATGTGACAATAGACCCAGGTGGATGGATGCTTCCTAAATGCTGGCTGCAGGGTTGTGGCTGCTGACATCTGAGAACCCAAGCTTCCAGCAGCCTACCAGTGAATCAATAGATGTTTCTGGAGTCCCTGTTATATAATCAGTGTTGGTGGCAAGGGTAGGGTCAGGGTTGCTACTATATTTACTTAGCACATAGATTGAAAAGGGAAATTTGGCCTCCTTCCTGAATTTATGAACTTGTAAATTGCTGGAACTTATCACAAGGAGGTAGTACAGAGGTGAGGCCTGGAGTGGGGGTGGCAGGAAGGGATGCTGAATGGAGAACGTGGAAGGTGCCTCACCAAGGCTAGACATTTCTGTGATACCTGGAAGTTGGTGGGAAATAGAGTTCTGTAGGCTAAGCTCCCAGGTAGGCTATGGGGAAGGATAGAAAAGCTTTTCTGGGTTTTAGTTTAAAGATGAAGGGAGAGAGGCAAGGAGAGTAACGACGAAAACAACCCTTGTCTCTGCTTGGCAGCTAGTCACATCAGGCAGAAATCAGGCAAGGGCGAGAGGCAATTTCAAGCAGCTTTGTCTTCCTCCAAAAACAAAGTAAAACTGAAATTTAGCTAATGAGAGCCAATAAATTTGGTGGCAAAGCTGAAAGTCTCTAATTATTTTGTATTTTGCATGGAGCTTTTCTACCTTAGAAGTAGAAATTGCAAATTTATCATCTATCTGTTGTTATTTTAATTAAGGTATATACTTTATAGGAAAAGAAGTAGTACAGGGTGGGGGACCATGTGCTGTACACCTGCTTCTCAGCTGAGAGGGAGTATCAGTGCCCATGGATCAAGTCCTTTGGGTCTCCTGGGCACACTTGAATGGAGGGCTAGGTACCGAGACCCCTGGTGTGTGTGTGTGTGTGTGTGTGTGTGTGTCTGTCTGTCTGTCTCTCTGTGTCTCAGCCAATGTCTGTGTGTGTGGCTTCTAGACACACTTCAGTCTAAGTTGGGGCCTACGTGGTCCGGGCCAGCTTCTCTGGAGTAAAGATCATAGCCTCTGATCTCATAACTATCAGGAGTATTAGACTGTGTTTGGAGGCCGATTCTATGGTTTCCCTTAGTGGAAAGAGTAGCTGAGAAATTACTCCTATGTTTTATGGCCAGATTCTGTAGCAATCCATGTTTGAAGCAGTGTGAACTTCCATCACAAATCTTCTGGTCTGTGTATGCTAATTAGAATAGCTTTGCTTGGGTTTCCGCTCCGAAGAAGTGTGTCAACTGAAAGCTTTTAGGGCTTTACCCATGATGGAGTAGGTCAATTGTGCACATGTTTGTGTGTGTGTGTGTGTGTGTGTGTTTGTTTTTGTGAGAGAGAGTGTCTATATACATGTGTGCAGAGTCCAGAGGTTGATGTCAGGTATCATCATTAATAACTTTCTACCTTATTTTCTGAGACAAAGTCTCTCATTTAACCTGGAGCTCAATGAATCAACAAGACTGACTGGCCAGCAAACTCGAGAGATCCTCCTGCCTCTCCTCCCCAGTGCTAAGACGACAGGTGTGCATCACTGCGCCCAGTTTTTCATGGGTTCTGTGGATCTGAACTCAGGATCTCAGGATTGCATATTAAGTACTTTACGAACTGAGTCATCTCCCACCAAGCCCCTAAAGGTGTAGCCCAGGCTGGCCTCAACCTCACTATCTTCCTGTCTCCACCTCTACAGTTTGCCTACTAGTATGCACTACAGCAACTGGCCATAACTCAATTTGTACAACAGATAGCCTTGACTTTGAGCTCAACTCTCTTTATGAGGAGAGGAACTCTGATCATAAGATTTGCTTTCTTTGATAAATGGGGAGTGGTTTCAAAGAAGTGAATCGAGGAAAGAAGACCAGCTTGGCCCTCCATTTGTGTGGAGCTTGGGGTTCCCTGGGTGTAAAGTTGCTCCTTTGTATAACTCCCAGGGGTTTTTGTTGCTTAGATGAGGAGAGGCCCACTCAGCTTATTCTTGGGGTCCTGTAAGGAGGAGATGCTCCTCTTGGAGGATGACCATTATCTTTTAACCACAGTTCCCACCTGAAGCACAGCACAGACCTTTCTTCTGCTTTTTCCAGGAAGAAATTATGTTGATCGAATGAATCAGATGTGCCAGTGGAACCCTTACCTGTAGGGTCAAAGATGGGAGTTGTTCCTGATACATTGGCCTTTGAATCCTTGTGTGAGTTTCTCTCAAACAGATTTCTGGATTTGGGTGCTGCATTCAGGGGCATCTTATCCTCCCCACTGACTAGAATAGAGAAGACCAGGTGGGCTAGTTAGAGCTCCATTTTAGTGAGAGAGATAAGTTCTCACTGGGGAAGGCAGGAGAGGCAAGATGGTTGAGGGTGAAGGTGAGAGATGAGGCCATGGGTCACCGGGGCTGAGGGAACAAAGTACCAGGGTAAACTCACTGGTGAGGTAGCAGTCCAGGCTGATGGAGATATTGTCAAACGCCACCGTTGCCCTGGATCCTTGACCCCACCATACGACTATCTGCAGCCAGAACCTGCATATGTTAAGAGGAATGTGTGTTAGGAACCACCTCTGTAGATCAAGTCCTAGGAATCAGTGTTCAGCACAAGTGTGCTGATCCCCCTGCTTAGAAATTTAGTTTTGATTAGCTTTTCCTGATCCCACAGCAGTGGCAAGAGGCTAGTACTCAACTTCTCCCTGACTTCAACTTCAACATGGAGCACGTCCCTATCTGAAGTGTTGCTCCATCATGCCTATGGCTGACACATGATCTTTAAAGCCAGTTTAGAGATCTGGGCTTGAGAGACTTATATTGTTTTCTGGGCATGCATGGTGGGTAGAAATGAGTGGAGCTGGCATTCAGCTTATGCTCAGCTGCAGGTGGGCTGAAGCCATTATTAAAACACTAAAATGCTTTTGCATTATTCCAGTGGACAGAACCCCACGGTCCCTTCAGTGACTCTGTTGTTTCAGGCAACTATGTTCCTTCCCTGGATCTCTGGCCCGGGGTCTTGTCCAGCATCAGTTACTATTTCCAAACTGGTTGTTAAATATTAGATGATCGACCATTACCCCTGGGAGTGCCTGTAACCAACTCACAATGGGTCATAAAGTGTTAATAGAGAGTCACTGAGATAATGTTTCTTTGCAACTTCTTCATGTGGTTGGGGAAGACTTTAGACTGAGATAAACAGAAAGATGCTTGATTTGTTTGTTTCTTGGGAAAGCTCCCTCCTGGAAGGCTATCCTCAGTCAATCAGCCCTTTTCTGTGATAAAGTGACTATGTCCTGAGACCCTAAACATTATTTTCCCACCTTGCAGAGGGTTTATCCAAAATGGCCTGCAGAATAGTGTGCAGTACCTGGTGTGGATGTTGAAATAATAAGAGAGGGGAAGCCATGGCTGTCAATCACTGAATAGATATAGCACATGTGGTATATAGCCATGCATCAGGATGCTACTCTGCAATAAAAAAGAATGGACCAAGAGACATGCTGTAAAATAGATGACTCTCAAAAGTATTATGCAAAGTTAAAGAAGCCAGACAGTAAGTTAAAGACCTCATATTGAGTGATTCCATGTATAGGAATCATCTAGAATAGGCACATCTGTAGAGACAGAGAGCAGATTAGTGGTTGCCCGAGGCTAGCAGTGGAACAATATTGACTGCTAATTAGCATGAAGACTCATTTTGGCATGATGGAAATGTTCTAAACCTGGGTTGTGGTGTTCTTTGTGGAATTCTATGAATGGGCAGGATGCATTGACTTACACACTTAAAATGGGTGAATGTTATGGCATGTAAATTATAGTTTGATAAAGCTGTTAGGAAATAAGGATAGAGGGAGTGAGAGAGAGAGAGATAATGTAGGGTAGAGAAAAGACAATGTGGGACAGCTGACAACATGAATAGCCTTTTAGGGAGGGGGCATAGGCACATGGGAAGAATTGAGAGAAAAGGACTAGTTTTGCTCATATAGATTGGTAGTGCAGTGAGTGAGTGAGGTTTCCAGTATGTTAACCCTGTGGCCAGTGGGCTACAAATGGCCATGACCCAACATGGCTTACTTAAAACACTATCAGACTTTTTAAAAACAAGTTTTCTGTAACTTGATTGTGCAGTTCTTGAGTGTGAACTCTGTAGATGACAATGTCCTGTCCTAATGTCAAAAAGGTTGGACATGCCCGTGTGTGAATTGCAGCAGGAGGTAAGTCCCCCATCATAAGTATGAGCACATGACCCTGGTCAACATGCAGAAGGGATAGATACTGACATGGTTCTTTCCAGCCAGAGAACAGTTACTGTTTCTGCTGGAGGAATGCCTTGAAATCAGAAATCAGAAGTGAACTTTTATCGAAACAGCATGTTTGTGTGTGTGTGAACTGTTCTTCTGAACTGCATTATTCCCCGAGTCTGCCTGTGCCTTCATTCATCTTGTGGAATTCGGTCACAAATAATCCTTCCCATCTGAAAAGCCCCAGATGCTTTGATTCTAAAGAAGCAATGCCTGTTCAAGGTCATTCTCAACTACATATGGAGTTTGAGGCCAGCCTAGGCTACATGAGTCCCTGTCTCAAACAAAACAAAACAAAGTACCCCAAACAAAAACACAAACCACAACAACTAATCATAATCATAATCATAATCATAATCATAATCATAATAATCATCATAATAATAGCAACAAAACCACTCTAAAAGGTGAATATAAAGGATCATGTTCCTTGCTGGAAGCATCTGGAAGCAAGCTGCCCTGTAGGGCAGTGGGCCTGGCTCCCATAGCAACCCTCATTCTCCTTCTCCTCTCTGGGTCATCCTCTCCTTCTCTGTCATCTGCAGACTGAGGGACCAGGCCACATGCTGATTTTAGTGCTGAGCTGCATTAGCCCACCTTCCAAAAGAACTCCAGGTGCTTAAGCAAGAAAATGACTTGTGTGCCGTCAGAGCAGGGAGAGGGGCAAAACCCCCACTTCTCCCTGCACAGGCCCTAGGGAAACCACAGACTCCTTACTGCTCCATTTGTCCTGTTCTCCCTCTGCTTTCATTCTTTACGCAGAAAGATTAGAGCTGCAAAGTTCCCTAATAGCCACTGGGCCTCTTAGCATGACTAGGATGATGCAAGCTGTTGCTAGAATGGTTTCTAAATAGAAGAATCTTTAAAGTATTCTGCAAGGCGATGGCAGTGGCAGCTGCTGTTTCAAAGAATTTGACTGACATTGGCGATTGCCGGTATTTTGTATCAGGAGCACTCATAACACACAGGAAAGACTCAGCCAGTGGCACCGTGAACCCATGTGATAGTGCCTCTATCCACTCTGGGGGCAGAGACTCAGGTAAAGGACAGGTGGACAAACGTAGATGAAGGAAGGTCAGACAGAGGTGGCAGTGTGGCAGTGAAGTGGAGGCAATCGGGGAAAGGGGTCTGGAGTGGCAGGTGTTGGGTCAGGGAAGGCACAGCAGGGTTAGCCTAGGAGTTCATCTTCTGTGAGGGAGCTGGCCAGGCATCTGGACGGGCAGCAGGCCCAGCGTGATTTAGGCTTTTCTACCTTGGATGATGCTTGGTTGTGTGTCATCACTTGAACCTTTGAAGAGGCAGCCCCTGGGCTCTGTTACTCCCTCCCTGCTGAAGATGGGCAAGACTTCCTCAGGGCTCACAGAGGCCTTCTGGCCCAACCACTCTTTCCTGGCCAGGTCCCTAAAGATACAAGAGTGAGCTCTGGCCACAGGTCTTAAGTTCTAGCATTTACTTTGGGACTGAAAGAAAGTTCTAGCACAGGTGGAACATTCTAGGACCGATGGAGAGCAAGGCCCAAGGCACATTATCACTAAGTCTGCAATCAGATGGTTCTAACAAACACAGTTTACTCCACCGGTTGTACTCCAAAGCCTTCACTCTGAATGGGGAGGGATGTGGAGTCTCCATGACTTCCAAAGGCCTTCCCTTCTTGTTTGTGGGAGCTGGTGAAGGAAAGGGAAGCGTGAATGCTTTGGGGTTCCTCCTGCTTTCTCAGTGATCTGTGCTGTCTAGGAGTGGCAGGTGAGCCTCCTCTTTCCTTGATAGTGTAAATTTTGCTTCTCACCTCTTAGTTGTCAGACCCACTTAGTTCTTCCTGTTTCTCCAAAGCAGATACTTGTGATTGCACTGTTGTTGCTGTTTTCTCTCTCTCTCTCTTTTTTCCTTGCCAGAGGGGTTTGGAGCTTGCTGCTAAAACAGACTTGGCTAGAGATCTTGGTTGGAGTCTGGCTTTGCATAAGAATGCACCTACCCCTCCATCTTGCTCAGCTTTACAAAGCAGCCTGTTGAAAATTGGCCCAGGAGGATTCTGGGAGGTGGCTATTTGGGCCATGGGCCAGGTTTAGAAGGGGCAGCTTTGGAAGTGGGTGCCTCTCAGACTCACTGGGCAGATCTTTGCAGATCATATGTGGATGCTGCTCACGCACAGCTCAGAAAACACACCGTCTCGTTCAGGCAACAGACTGTAAATGGACAGTGCATATGAGGCCTGATTCACCATCCTTACAGCCTTAGGGATTGACAAACCTAATTAAGTTCACTTAATGATTTTAAGTAGCTGACAAAAAGGTGTGTGTCTGAATGTGGACTGAGGGAATAGCAAGACACTGGAGAGAGAGAAAGTGAAAAAGAATGCTGCCTGGTGTAAGAGTCATTTGATGGATGCATACCGTGGCTCAGATTCCTCCACTGGCCATTTAGTGGTATCCAAAGAGGGGGTGTTCTGTATCCATTTTCACAGCTAGGGCTTGTCCAGGACTTGGCTGCTTACTACAGAACTGGCAGATACTACGGAGAAAAAAACCACTCTGTCCAATTTCTTATTGCCCAGTTGATTTGCTCAGCAAAAGTCTTCTGAAATGGACTGAGAAGGCTGGGGTCACGGTATGCATTTCTATTAGAATAATGTCTGTGAAGAAGAATCCCTGCCACTATGCATACTATTATATGCATAATCGACTTCAGACACTGGCTGCAGAGAAGGGGCTGAGGGACAGCTTTGGATTCCTGGGACCAGTCCCGATGGGTTGTCTGACAAGGCAAGGGATGGACACGTGCTCTGATGTTGTCTATAGCTCTTGTGTAGCAAAGCGGTGACAGGCTGAGTTCAGGGTCAGTTACATAGAGAGTTTGAGGCTAACCTAGGCTATATGAGTTGGGAGCACCCCCATCTCACTGAGTCCTACTCTCAGAGATTATTTACCACCTCCAGACTTGGAAAAGTCAGTACAGAGTTGGCAGGACTGCCAAGGACTGGAGGATCTTTCTTTCCCAATGAGTCTGACTGTAGTGAAGAGCTCTTCTAGAAAGACAAGAGTAGGTGAATCTTCAGATAGGCTGCAGGGAGAATCATTGAGCCCCTTCCCCATCCCCAGGTTGAGGCTTCCAAGTATTGGTTTTCTTTTTAAATTTATTTATTTAAAAAATATTTTTATTATTTTTATTTTATGTGTGTGCGTGTATTGTCTGCATGTAGGTAAGTGTACCCATGTCGTGCAATGCCCACAGAGGACAGAA